ATTTCATGCCATTGATATATTTTTGCCAATTCTTTTGCCAATTCCACATCACTGTAGCTAGAGTAAGAATTAAATTTAGATAGTGGCAGTCCTCAAGATTTGTTCTTCTTCAGTATTGTGTTGGCTGTTCTGGGTCTTAAGTTTCTCCACATGAACTTTAGAGTCAAGTTGTCACTAGCTACAAAATAACTTGCCAGTATTTTTATTAGGATTGAGTTACATCTATAGATCAAATTGTAAAGAACTGATATATTGACAATATTCACTCTTGTATCCATGGAATATGTCTCTATTTATATAGATCTTTTATTTCTTTCATTAGAATTTTGTAATTTTCATCAGGCAGATCTTGTATTTATTTTTAAAGACTTTTCCTTAAGAATTTCTTTTTTTTCCTTTTCTTTTGTAAATGGTGCTAATGTGAATGGTGTTCGTTTTACCTTTCAAATCCAACCATTGCGAGTGGGTTTTGGATTTTTTTCAAATGTGTTTTCTACATTTACAGTTATAATCAATGGTATGATCTATCTATATTTTTAATGGTATACATATTTTTAAAAAGAACACTCATAACCACTCTACTTTTAAAATGTCAAAATTCCCCAATCTTATAGCATAGAGCTATATGTCACAGCTCTTAAAAATTTTAAAGAATTCATTTGTTTTGGAACTGGAATTGATACATTATGTACTTCGATCTTGTGGGAAATTGGATTGATAGAATATTGGAAGGTGTGAGATAAATTGAGACAAGACAAGCAAAATTTTTTAAAGGCAATTACTATAGGAAAAAAAGCAAATGATTAAAAAAACAACAATGGTCAGAGTACACACAACATTAAGTTGTGAATGCTATTTGCATGGACATAATAAAGTGAAAAATAAATATTTAACTGCACAAGAAAAGTGAATGAAAGGTGAGGAAGTGGAAAATGGAGAGAGTAGAACAGACAACTCTAGTTTTGGGGAGATGCTATTTTCTAAATGAATTTAGAAGAACAATCAGAGGAGGAAGAAGGGAATAGCCTTACAGCCATTAATATTTTGATGGAGCTGAAGATAAATGTAATGAATATGGAGAGAGATTATTTCACTTTCCCATGATCTCCATTTTCTCCCTTGAGACATAGTGAAAAGAAAGTGAAAGTTGCTCAGTCATGTCCAACTCTTTGTGACCCCATGGACTATACAGTCCATAGAATTTTCCAGGTCAGAATACTGGAGTGGGTAGCCTTTCCCTTCTTTAGGAGATCTTCCCAACCCAGGATCGAACCCAGGTCTCCCGCATTGCGAGTGGATTCTTTACCAGCTGAGCCACCAGGGAAACACAAGAATACTGGAGTGGGTAGCCTATCCCTTCTCGGTGGATCTTCACAACCCAGGAATCGAACTGGGGTTTCCTGCATTGCAGCTGGATTCTTTACCAACTGTGCTATGAGGGAAGCCCCCTTCAGACATAGCTCTGTTTCAAAAAGATTTTTTAAAGTTTTTTTTTTTTCTCTCATTGAAGAATACATCTTCCACTTGACAAGTTAAATACATAATGCTAATAAATAATTCACAATACTCAAATGAAGACAATAACTTTAAATGGAATTACAAAACAGAATGCACAGTGTTATTTTTGAAGAGAACAATTTCATATACTATCAAGTTTTGCCACATAGTACTTTTCCCTGTCTCATTAAAACCCTAGCCACATGTCACTGCTTTCCCATCTAAGGAACATCCGATCTTTTAATAGCACATGGAACTCCTACCAGAGTGACCTTTCTTTTTGGCAGGTCATCTGACGATATTAACTAGAGTACTTTCTTCCCAGAAGAGCAGGAAACCTTAATATTCAGAGAAGTTTTATTGTTGAAACGATCTGAGCAGACTGCCAAAATGACTGACTTCCTTTGCTCTGAAGAAGTTTCTCTTGTGTTTGCAATGAGTAGATATCAAAGGGACATTTATGGGTCTAAGCAAGTTCCAGTACTTGTAAAGAGGGCCACCCCTGAGATGAGGCAGGCCGTTGGGAGACAGATCTGTTTCAGGGGCATGGGAGGAAGTTTTCTGAGGGATGCTGGCAGCAAAGGGCCAGCAGCCAGAACTACAGGGAGGTCTTAACGTGACCAAGTATCCCTACCTGCGACAGAGCACAGACAGAGCATATCAGAAGGATGTGACAGTCAAAGTCAAGGTAGGAAGGCAGGAAACCAGGAATGCAGTTTAGAGCAATCTAGGCCACAGCCCCAGAGAAAATGAGCAATGAAATGAGTTAAAAACAACAACTCAGGAAGGCAGTGCAGTGATCAGAACTGGGTCCCCAATGGAAAACTCTGAAATAGAGTGGTAAATGAAATCAATAAACAAGGGTAGAATCTTGGAAACTATCCAGTTGCCTCATATGACTTATAGGACTAGAGAAGTGTGCTGATCCTCATACCAAAATTTATGTTACAAGGTGAAAACACAATTCTAACTTCCCAGTGAACCATGATTTAAGCTCCACAAGGCTGAGTGCATGGAAGTATGTCTTTGTCTCTAAGGCAGATTATAACAAATGCCTGCAATTTAGAAAAGTCACCCATAATTTTTAATATTTTTTGTTTTTGGAGGTAAGCCAAAATTCCAAATCTATACTAGGGGCATTGCAGTAATCGAGATGAGTGAAGGAGGTGACGATGGAGGGAATGGGGATAAGGAGAGGGACTGAACAGTTACAGGAGAGGAGTAAGGGATGGGCAAGGATCACAAGCAGGGAAGTGCTATACAGAATGGATCCTTGGTGTTAAAAGATAGACTGAGGCATATTAAAATTTCTTAGCTTCTTTGAGCATAAATCAGAATGGAGCAGCACCAGGCCAGGAGCAGTTGAGACCTCCACAAACAGGGGCTCCAGAAAAGACTTTAGAGAAAGAAGGTGGAAGCAAAGCAATAAATTATTAGTTGGCTACAGATTGAAGCCTAATTGGCTCCTTGCGGTTGGTTGTCCTTAGGTCTTGATTTCACAACCACAAGGCATTTCCAGGCTCTGATTTGTGTTTGCTTACATAGGCAACCACTGGCATTGGTGCCACCTGTCTTAATGGTTTCTCTGTAGAGTTAATTTAACACTGGTTTCTGGATGGTCTCAGACAACTGAGTGAACAAGGATGCCAGCACAGAGTAGGGACAATCTGATGCTTGGAGTCAAAACCTGACCAGTTCTGTGTGAACTTGAGCCAATTACTTAATCTCTCTCAGCCTTTATCTGTAAAAAAAAGAATAATTCTACTTACAAAGTTGTTGTGAGAACTAAATGAGAGATCATACCATTAACTTGACGCATATATTGGGTGTCATATTAATTGCCAAATCCTGAGTTCAAAGTCCAGTGTGCTGGAAGAGACATGCAAAAGCAATCAACACACTACAGAGGGGCAAGTGATAAGTGCTAAAATATCAGTGTCCATGGAGTATTCAAGGAGCCCAGAATCAGGCATGCACTGCATGCAGATGTGGGGAGAGGGGTTTGGGTACTTGAATGAGGCTTGAATGAATATATTTCAGCCAAAATGCATTCCCCTTATGACCTTGAACAAATTAATCGCCTCAGTTTCCTCATTAGAGATAACAGCAACCATCCCAAGGAGTGATTATGAGGGCTAAGTGAACTGATTCCTGAAGAATGCTCACTACAGGGCCTGGTACATAGCAAGTACTCCATCAATGTTGGCTGTTTTTTTATTAACATTATGGCTATGAAGAACTCTGGGAGTCAGTATCTCTGATGAACTCAATGATATACCAAGGTCACAGCTAGTTAACAGCAGAGACTAGACTAGAGACCAGGTCACAGTTTTATGCTCAAAATAGAAGTAGAGTTCTAGACTCATCCATCCTGCTTTTTCTCCTAGAGATTCTAAAGAGAGTGCTGTAACATGGAGACTTTGGCAACTGTTCCCAAAGGGAAGTTCTGAATAAAATCATGTAATACTTGAATAAGCTCATATACAAAAGGATTGCCCACTTTGACAGGCAATCAGCCTGCAGTACATATAAATTCACTTTTTCTTGTACTGGACATCTTTGGTTTTGCTTTTGTTTTCTTTTTTTTCCCAGTCTACATATTTTTCTTATTTCAATCTTCTAACCTCATTCTCTGAAGCCTGTTTGATTTTCATATCAAAGGAAAATTCAAGCCAGAAGAATAGGGTCTACTTGTAATCAACATCCATTTACTGTCTATTGTGGTTCAGAAGCTCTTTGCCAGGACTATGGAAAGAGGCAAAGGATAGAAAGATAGCTTCCATCTTTGAGACAGTTATCATTTTAAGTAAACCAGATCTATAGGCAATGAGGAAACAACTAATTCTAGAATAACATATAGATATTCCATGGTCATATGGGGTAGGTTGGAAACAAAGTCGACTGGTGTTGTATTGGGCAGGAGCTAATGAGGATGTATGGAGAAAAAAGAATCATGTCTTTGCCAGTGCTGTGCTGGGAATTCTGTATATGGATGATTCTGTATTTGTATCTGGATGATTCTGAGTCAGTCCTAAAGCAAAGGGAAAGGCAGGCAGTGGTTTTCATTAGGATCACCTGGTAGGGACAAATAAACCTGCACCCAGCCTCCACCCTCAGAGATTCTGCTTCCTTCTCCCCTGGGCAGGGAGCTCAGGTCTCCGCACTTTATGAAAGCTCCCAGGTGATTCTACATTCAACCAAGGCTGAGAATCTCTGCATTGAGGCAAAGACTAGATGTCTGTATAGACAGCTAATGCCTATGAGAGTGTTTTCTAAATCAAACAATACTATGGGAATAAAGTCTCATCATTGTTTTTCTGTGTGGAGTTTATACCGAGAGAGTTCCTCAAATGACACTGAACTAGTGTACTGCAAGTGTGCTGTCTGTACACTTCAAGCAGAATTAGGAGCGTATTGTATTGAAGCAGGCATGTGGGTTTGTGGGGAGGAGGGGTAGGATGACCAAAAGAAGGGCCAGGCTAGGGCTGGAGGAACTGACTCACGAGATCGCTTCTGTGGATTCCAGGTCTGCAGCAGCAGAAAGTTATGCCCAGGGCTTGCCAGACATCTCCAGAGCTTTCTGTTTGGAAATTTCAAGGAGGCTTATTTTGTCGTGGAGCTAGTTGATGGGAAAATGCCAAGCTGGAGAGAAACAAAAGATGGGATTCAAGAGTTTGATTCATAGTCCATGGTCATTAAGTGGTTGCTGAAATGAAGACAAAATGTGGGATGACAATGTAGCACTAAAAAGAAGAGATGGTCTAGCAAATTAGATCAGCCTGTTTGGATTTGATGCTACTGGCAGCAGAAAGCCACCTGGTAGCCTTGAATTGTGTTTAAGGACCTGTAAACTACTGAAAACTGAAGAAATAAATGTGTCCTAGTTTATTCATTCCTCAAGAGGACTTTAAAGAAGAGTATTTTCATCATGAGAATAGCGGTCACTCTAATGGTTTATTTAGGCAAGATTATGGACTCTTGTTTTCTGAACAGGGTTGCACCTTCTGGTTAGGCAGGCTGTTCATGGCACAAGAGATGGTCCTAACAATAGAGTTGGTCCTGAAATCTGTCTGTCCTGAGCCACTAGGGGTTCACACAAAGGCACCCCATGGAGTAGTGGCAGCCCATCTCTAAAAGTCTGAAGACAGCATATGCTCTTCTGCTCAGGCAACCTCATAAGGTTGCTTCCTGACTCAGGTAGGAAGCCAATGATGTGAAAAATAAAGTGGAAGAAGAGGAGAAGAATGATCAAAATGTAAGAAGAAATGAAAAAGAACAGTAGAGTGAGGTCTTAAGATAAGTGGAGACTCTCCTTACATCTTCTGTGAGTAAACTCGGAGACAAGAGTTCACCATGACCTATTAAATGGCAGAAATGCAAATGGAGGCATTTTGCAATAAGAAGCAACATGAATCTGAGACCTAAAATCCAGCAATTGTATAACCAGGCCTAGAAAAAGTCCATTTTACCAGCAATGTCTCTTTTTAGGGAGAACGTGTAATATGAGTATGTTTCCAATGTTCGTTTTGCACTTCTTTTCACTTTCACCCCAAATCCCTTCCTCCCCAGCCCACTCCAGCACCACAGTGGGACAGGGTGGCTACCGCTTATGTTCCACATGTTAAGTTTGGATGCTGGGTTTCCATATGATGTTCACATCTGCAACACTCTGCCACTCTCACCTCTAGCTGCCAACTCTTCTGGTACACAGTGAGAAAAGGAAGTCCTTAACTCTCACAAGCAGTTTGGTCTTGAAACTATCTAAGAAATGTCTCAAGTTCCTTTCCATTTCTAAGGAAAGCAGAATTTGCACACTAGAAATGGAGCTCACAATACCTACGCAAAGAATTCCATCAAGATAAATCAGGTTAGTTCAAAGGATATTTGCTTTATGGCTCACAGTATATCCCATGCTTTTCCAGAGACCAAGAAGGCCTGTGGTCACCCCTCTGGATTCCTATCCCTACGAGGCTTTTGCATGGAACATCACTGATTCTTACAGTTCCAGCTGAGGAATTTATAACATGATCTGTTTCCCTTGGGATTAGCCTTTAAAAATTTATTTCTTCAGCCAACATTTAATACATTCTCCAACTGTGTTAGATGCTGGGAACACAAAATTCACTAAAGAATGGCTACTGCTTCCAAAATCCTTATTTAGTAAGGGGAGACAGACATTTAATTTAATAAATGCCACAAAATGCTCTGGTGCTGTAAAAGATGTTATGTCTGGGAAAGAGAGGGGACACAAGGGTGAGGAGCAAACGGTGGAAATAAAGTATCCGTGGGTCAAAGAGCTTGATGCAGATAGAAGGAAGAAAGATGCAGGTAGGTCCAGTTGACCAACTGAAGTCCTATCCTTGGAGAAGGTGGGATGAAGCATAGGTCCAGGTAGAAGAGGTGGCAGATGGGGCCAGTGGAAATGTAACCCATGAAGCCACAGTCTTTACAAAACTTGACCTCCACAGGATGAGTCTATAATTCCCAGATATGCCTGCAAGGAAGCCGATTTAATGTTTAAGAGGAATTCCAGAATGCTTAGAGTTGGGGGTTGCTTGGGAGATGGAATGCTCAGAAAACTACTCCCCCAATCACCTCTGGTCCTTGGAACTGAATTCCTGAGCATGTTTAGTCTCCGTCTTAGCTGTGAAAAAATAGATTTTAAGGCACTGATTTTTAAACATTTTACTGTTTGAGGCTGGATTTAACTCTTTAATCCTGCCACTGAATGAAGATGAAAAATATATCTCATCTCTATACGATGCTACCAGCAGTTAAAACAACATCCCTGTTTCTTTCTCCTTTACTGTCTCCCTTTTTGTAACTGGGTTAATAATTCCAGTGTAGTAGGGATAGGAGATTTTCATTAGTACCTGATCATTTCACCTGTCTTTTCTTCCTGAGATTTCCAGTTCCCTGACACTTGATTTTCTTCAAAATTTCCATCCTTCTCTCAGTTTTTCACATGCGCCCATGGTCTGTCTCTGCAAACACTAACCTTCGCTTTTCTAACTTCTTACCTGGAACCCTCTACCTGGATCCCTTACCTAAATTTTTCTTCTTCCCATCCGTCCTTTCTTTCTTATTGAAATAAGAGTTGAAATACAATATTATGTTAGTTTCAGGGTACAATATAGTGATTCATTTAAATACATTATGGATGATCACCATAATAAGTCTAGTAACCATCTGCTCCCATAAAACACTATTACAGTACCATTGGCGATATTCCCTATGCCATATAGGACATCCCCGTGACTTATTTATTTTATAACTGGAAGTTTGTACCTCTTAATTTCCTTCATCTATTTAGCCCCCCCCCTCCCCTCTGGCAGCCATCATTTTTTTTTATGAGTCTGTTTTGGTTTTGTTTTTTAGAGTCCACATATGAGTGAAATCATATGGTGACTGTCTTTGAGTTATTTCACTTGGCATAATATCCTTTAGATTTATCCATGATGTTGCAATTGGCAAAATTTCATTCTTTTTTATGGGTAACATTCCAGTGTGTTTGTGAGTGTGTGTGGGGGGTGGGGGGTGAGGGACATCTTCTTTATCCATTTCTCTGTGGATGGATATTTAGGTTGTTTCCATGTCTCAGCTATTGTAAATAATGCTGCAGGGAACATAGAGGTGCACGTATCTATTTGAATTAGTGTTTTGTTTTTCTCAGGGAATACACATATGTGAAAATGCTGGATCATATGTAGTTCTATTTTTAATTTTTTGAGGAATCTCCGTGCTATTTTCCATGGTGGCTGCACCAACTTACAATCCTACCAACAGTGAGGCTTCCCTTCAATACATCTTCATCAATAATTACTTAGTTGTCTTTTTGATGATAGTCATCCTGAGACGTGTGAGGTGATATCTCACTGTGATTTTTATTCACATTTGCCTGATAATTAGTGATGTTGAGCATCTTTTCACATGTTTGTTGTCCATCTATATGTCTCTTTTGGAGAAATGCCTATCCTTTGCCCATTTTAAAATTAGACTTCTTGTTTATTTGTTGTTGGGTCATATGTGTTCTTTACATATTTTGGGTATTAAATCCTTTTTTGGATATGGATGCAGATCTTTTTTCAAGTGCTATTTGTTCTTTTGGGTTGATCTCTTTATCATTATGTAATACCGTCTTTCTCTTTGTCCAGTCTTCGTGCTAAAGTCTGTTGTGTCTGATATAAGTAGTGTTACCCCAGCTTTCTTTTCATTTTTATTTACATGGAATATCTTTCTCCACTCCTCACTTTCCATCTGTGTGTCTTTAGATTTGAAGTGAGTTTCTTATAGGCAGCATATATGTAGGTCTCTCTCTTTATTATTATTATTATTATTTTCAGCCATTCTATCTCTTTTGGGAGCATTTACTCCAGTTGTATTTAAAGTAATTATTGATACATATATTATTGCTTTTTACGGCCATTTTGGTTGCTTTTGTAGTTCTTCCTTTCTTCTTCTCTATTCTCTTTTCTTATTATTTAATAACTATCTCTAGTGTTAACTTTGGACTCTGTTCTTTTTTAAGGAAATTTTTTTTTAAAGAATTTATTTGACATGTGTACACACTGTTGCATTTATTTATATTTATTTTTGACTGCTCTTAGTCTTAGTTGCTGCCTGCAGACTTTCTCTGGTTGCGGAGAGCAGGGGCTACTCTCTCATTGCGGTGCATGGGCTTCTCGTTGCGGTGGTTTCTCTTGTTGCAGAGAACGGGCTTCAGTAGTTGGAGCACGTGGGCTCAGTAGTTTTGACTTGCTAGCTCTGGGGTACACCGGCTTCAGAAGTTGAAGCACAGGTGCTCATCAGTTGTGGTTTGCAGGCCCTAGTGTGTGCAGGCTTCAGTAATTGTGGCACATGAGCTTAGTTGCTCTGTAACATGTGACATGTTTCCAGACCAGGGATCAAACTCGTGTCTCCTCTGTTGGCAGGTGGAGTCCTATCCCCTGCATCACCAGGGAAGTTCTTTATTTTTTGTTTATCTTTGCAGGTTGTTTTATTTGTGGTTACACCATTAGGTTCATGAATAAGAACATACATATACAGAGAGATATCTCCTTTAAGTTGATGATCTCTTAAGCTGAACACATTCTAACAGCTCTACGTGTTTAGTCCTTTCATTATGCTTTATATTTTTGACATCATATTTTACATTTAAAAATTTTTCTGTATCCTTTAACTTATTGTAGGCATTGATAATTTTACTACTTCTGTTTTTTAACCTTCCTACTATCTTTATAAGTTGCTGACATTTACTATATGTTTGTCTTTACCAATGAGACTTCATTTCACAGTTTTCTTATTTCTAATTGTGGCCTTTTCTTTTCTACCTAAAGAAGTTCCTTTAATACTTCTTATAAGTCTGGTTTAGTGGTGCTGAACTCTTTTAGCTTTTGCTTGCTGATAACACTCTTTATCTCTCTTTCAATTCTGAAGGATAACCTTGCTGGGTAGAGTATTATTGGTTTAAGCCCTTTCCTTTCATCACATTGAATGTATAGCTCCTCTCCCTCTGGTCTGCAGTGTTTCCGCTGAAAAGGCAGCCAATGGTCTCATAGTAACATGCTAAGTTGCTTCAGTCATATCTGACTCTTTGCAATCCCATGAACCATAGCCCACCATGCTCCTCTATCCATGGGGATTCTCCAGGCAAGAATACTGGAGCAGATTGCCACACCCTCCTCCAGGGGATCTTCTCAACCCAGGGATCTAACTCATGTCTCTTACATCAGCAGGCGGGTTCTTTACCACTGAGACACCAGGGAAGCTCTTTGGAAACAGTAGCTCCAAGTCATATCTGACTCTTTGCAATCCCATGAACCATAGCCCACCATGCTCCTCTATCCATGGGGATTCTCCAGGCAAGAATACTGGAGCAGGTTGCCACACCCTCCTCCAGGGGATCTTCTCAACCCAGGGATCTAACTCATGTCTCTTACATCTCCTGCATTCGCAGGTAGATTCTTTACCACTAGTGCCACCTGGGAAGTCCAGTCTTGTGGGAGTTCCCTTGTATGAAACTTGTTGCTTTCTCTTGCTGCTTTTAAGATTCTCTGTTTATCTTTCACATGACATTTTAATTACAAAGTGTGTTGGTATGGTCCTTTTTGGGCTCATCTTATTTGAGACTCTGTGCTTCCTGGACCTCAATGTCTGTTTCTTCCCCCAGATTAGGTAAGGTTTCAGCTATTATTTCTTCAGATAAGTTCTGTGTGCTCTTATGTTTCTCTTCTCCTTCTGACACCCCCATAATACAAATGTTAGTATGCCTGATGTTGTCCCAGAAGTCCCTTCAAGTACTTTTTTAAAAAAAATTTATTTTATTTCTTTTTTTCTGTTCTGCTAAGCTTGGTTATTTCCACTAATATGTCTTCTATATCAGTGATCTATTCTTCTGTTTAATCTAATCAACTTTGATCCCCTCTTGTGCTTTTTGATTTGTTTTTTAATTATTGTATTCTTCAGCTCTGATCTGTTCTTCTTCTTTTTAATGTATTCTGACTGTTCTTTAAAATTCTTACTGTGTTCATCCATTCTTCTCCTGAGATCGGTGATGATCATTACCCTTAATATACTGGGTAGGTTTCTTATCTCCATTTCACGTAGTTCCTTCTCTGAGCTTTTATCTTATTCCTTTGTTTGAAATGTATTCCTCTGTTTCCCTATTTTGCCTGGTCTTTTATTTTATTTCTGTGTATTACGTAGGTCCATTTCATCTCTTTCTTTTTTAAAAAAATGATTTTATTTATTTATTTTGGCCGTGCTGGGTATTCATTGCTGCTCAGGCTCTTCTCTAGTTTGTGGGTTTCTCATCGTGGTGCCTTCTCTTGCTGCGGAACATGGGCTCTAAGGTGTGTGGACTTTAGTAGTTGTGGCGCCTAGCCTTAGCAGTTGCACTTTCTGGGCCCGAGAGCACAGGCTCAATAGTTGTGACACTCAGGCTTAGTTGCACTGCAGCATGTGGGATCTTCCCGGGCCAGGCACGGGACCCGTGTCTCCTGAATTGTCAGGCAGATTCTTTATCATTGAGCCACCAGGGAAGCCCCCACACTCCCATTTCATCTCTTGATCTTGGAGAAGGAGCCTTATATGGGTGAGGTCCTATTTAAAATACACTCATATCCACTGATACCTGGGGTTAGGACTTCATCATACCATTTTGGAGGACGCAGTTCAACCCACAAGGCTTTCTGTCCTTGTCACTTTATCTTCTTGGAAGTACAGTAGCTATCTTATGACTATGAGGCTGTAAGTATGAAAAGAATTTACAATCTAAAGAGAGTGGAAAGGAAAGCTAAGGAAACAGCAGGTACCTAACAGCAGCACAGCACAGTCAAACTACCATTTACTTCTAGACCACTTGAACTATCAGAAAATGATTCTGAGCTATTAAGTCTCTGTCAGGTTTTCCGTCACTTGTAGTAAAAACCAGGCTAATGGCTACGCCAAGATTTCCCTAGTTCATGACAAAATTAGAAAAATAATTGTTAGTAAAATTTTCATAG